GCACAAAAGGCAGATTTACTGAAAAACACTGCTGAGGGGAGCAGCGGGTGAGTCAGGAGAGGTCTGCTGCGCCATGTGGGTCACCTCCCTGGCTGGGGATCAAACTAGTACTGCAGTGGCTGCAGACAGCTTCATAGGTTGTGTCTTAACCCCTTCCACCACCAGGGAGGCCCTTCCCTCTGTTTCTTTTTTGGGTTTTCTTCTTCGGCTCCATTTACATAATGTAAGAAAATTTCACTGTTCTGTTATTTAATGAACTAAAATTTAGATGTTTCTGCCTTTGAGGGAAGTGTCGCCATCAGAAATGATGGAGAACAGGCAGGTTTATTGAGGAGAACAGAATGAATCACAAAGGCAGGCTTATAAAGAGACTTTGCTAAAAACAAGAGGGGTGTTGTGTGCACTGGGTGAGTCACATTATGATTATCTTCATTCTATTCATCATATTCTTCACAGTAAGAAAAGAATTTATTGGGAGATTCCTGCTATGTCCTCCCTAAACTCTGATTGAACATATGTATATTTGATTAGCCTGCGCCTTCCCCAAACTATGATAGAAGGAATCATAGAATGCCAGCTAGTTTGCTGGACAAGGACCCTGGTCTGAGTCTTAACTGAAAGTTGCTCAGGGATGACTGAGCTGGAGATCCTGATAGTGATTTCCAAACTCACAGTAGGCAGATAGGTAATCAAGCTGAAAAATGCTTTCTAGGATGGGAATTTTTGAATAAAGCATCTTTCTCTACCACCTTCTTTGTTCTCATACTTTATAGTTCTTCTTCCTAAAGCACTGTTATTCCTGCCCACTGCCTTTCTCTCAGTTGAACTCCTCTGATCCTTTAACTTAAGAATCACTTCTAAGACTTCTTTAGGCTTGAAAAGACCCTTCGGGGCTAAAACAGCCTGTGTTCTCAAGGCAACAGGTACTCCTCGTGTAAGGCACTCACTGCCCTCTAATTCTCTGTTTAAGGGGGTGTTTTCCTTACCAAACTCTATGTAATTTTGTTTTTCCCTAATCTGTCTCAGTGCAAATATTGAGATATTTTAGATACTCAAGAGCTATCTCCTTGGAGTTATTGAAAAATAGCAATGTTAAATTGACCATAGCTTGAGGAGCAGGGACTATATAGCATGTACAATTGGGTTGTCCTGTAGAATGTTGCATTCTAGCCTGGAGGATTGTTCCTCTTCTATTGCTGAGAGCCCAACACAGTTGATCCAATGTCTCTGCCCTGGACAATGCTGAAGAGACATGGACAAATTCTTTCAGGGTTTCATGCACAGCTCCTTCCTTTTGCAATGAATATGTACCACTTCTCCCTCTTGCAGCATTATGGTTGAAGGTGTAGAGCAAAACTGTGGCTTTTTCTTCATGCACCAGAATAAGAAATGCCACTGGCATATAGATGTGTGTGTATTTATTTGTGTGCACAGATGACTAGAAGAGAAGTCTTTTAAAAAGTGTGATTGATCAAATGGTCTCTGCATATCTCTTTGCTGTGTAAGGAGATCATTGTGAATGATGCAGGGAATCTAGTCACTATGGATTCATAGTATATGTGTATACCTAGCCTATGGGCTCATAGCCTAGGAAATAGAAGACTAGTTCCCTTATCTTGACCAAAAATGACAAGAATTTCTGAAAATAGGAGAAGGATCTTCTGGCTGCATACTATAGGCATGGTTGTAGTTGTCACAATAATATTTTTTTAGATTGATTTATTTATGCATACAAGAACCAGGGTGCAGGACAGAGGCATGGGAGGGTAAAGTGAATTCACCAGACACAGAGCAGAGAGCAGAACAGGCAGATAGACTGAAGACACTGCTGAAAGGAGCAGCAGGCGAGCCAGGAGAGGTCTGCTGCACCATGTGGGTGTCTCTGCCACCGAATGGGATGGAACTGGTGCTGCAGATTTTGCAGACAGCTTCACAGCGCTGTGCTCAACCCACTGTGCCACCTGGGAAGCCCAATAATAATTTTTTTTTTTTTACCCTGCACTCACCCCCTGGTAGATGAAGGAAACTTGAGTGCTTCTTGTGCATTCCTTTCATACTCTATAAGGATGCCATCCACTTTATCATATAATACAGATTAGGTGATTAGACTAAACATGTTTATTTCCAATTTTTCTGAATCTTAATCATGTCACACAGTAAGTAACCGATAGATGTTAAATATACGTAACACATCGCTGTGACACTCAGGGACATGCAGAGCCCCACTCTCTTTTATGTTGGTATTTCTTTTTTTTTTAAGATTATTTATGCATACAAGAACTGGGGTACAGGCCAGAGGTGCGGGGGGGTGAGAGGATTCACCAGAGACAGAATGGGAAACAGAACAGGCAGACTGAAATACACTGTGGAGGGGAGCAGCAGGTGAGACAGGAGAGGTCTGCTGTGCCATGTGGGTAGCTCTCTGGCCCACCAGGGATCGAACTCATGCTGCAGAAGCTGTGGATAGCTTCACAGTGCTGCGATTAACCCTTTGTGCCACCAGGGAGGCCCTATGTTGGTATTTCAATCCCTTTTATTCTTTTATTCTTTCTGTGTCACTGCTGGTTTGTGTGCTGGTCTGCTTGATAGGGAAGCATCTATCTCAAAACATATGCCATGATGCAATTATTAAATTTTCTCTTACTTTAGTTATATTTTAGCACACTTGATTATATTTGAGAGCATCTGGGCAAATTTCAGGATGTAATATAGTGTTATTAAAAACAAATTTTCAAAATTATTAGGATATCATATTTTCCCATTGATTCTGGGTCTTGTAATTTGGACTTGTTAAATGCTATGCATTCTGAAAAATGAGGTGCTATGCTGCTGTGGGCACATACAGCAGAGAATAGTCTTTATATGAGAATAGTCTTTCCAATAACTTCTGCAGCATTCTGTTCATTTGATCATTCGCTGTATAGATTTTGACAGCATCTTTAAAGTTGGCTGGATGCCTAAAGATTCATGTGTGTAGTAAACTGATGCTGAACTTTTAGTCATTCTCAACTTCCCATTTTGTTATACTCTCCATCTGCCCAGCCACCTCCCACTCTTTGTCTCAGATCCTATCCAATCAACCCACACTGTTCAATTCTTTCTTTATTCTTTGTCTGTTTCACTGTAGGGAAAACTATTTTAACAGCATTCTTTTTTTTTTTTTCTTACTTACCTGTAGTGGATAACTTATCATTTCATTATAATATGTCACTTCTTTTATGTATGTATATCCCCAATAATAAAGGCTAACATTTATTGACTACTTTGCTTTTAATAATTAATTTAATCCTCCCTGTAACTTTAACATTATACATTATTATTATCCCCATTTTATCAGATGAAGCAATGGAAGCAAAATGAGTTTAAGTAAATTTTCCCAGTTCACATGCAATTCATATATTCTTTCAACATGTAGTAAGTATTTATTTGTATTGGTGTTATATTAGGTGTTAGACTGAATTATTGGGTGTTCTTGGCAGGCCCAGTAGCTTGCAGTTTTGCAGTTATAAGAGCTGTAAGTAGAACAATAACAGTTCCAGGCATACAGCTCCTGCAAGCTGTATGCTTGTTGACTAACAGAGTTCTTATGGATTACTATGTGGTATAGAACATGATTTTAAACCTACTGTAAGAAGAATCGTGTTCTCAGAAGTTTAATGTTTAACAAATGTGTAGTCCTATAGAATTTACCTGCCCTCTGAAATTGGTTCTTTATCCCTGAGTATAATTGGATGGTCACACACTAGTGGTCTACTAGCTCACCTAAGTAGAATGCCTTCCAGAACTCCTCCTCTATAAGAAATCTGATGTGGGATAAAGAATCACTTTTATACAAATTTCTCACATTCTCTGCTTTGTTTTGTAATTGCATATTAGGCCCCTCTGACCAGCAATCTTCTACTGGGAATCTTTTCTCTGAAATCTGGCTCAATTGATTGGAGTGTTGGTGTAGTCTTAGGTTTCCTACAACCAAAAGATTTGGTTCTATCAAGATATTTAGTAGGGGAAAAGCACAGTTACTTTGGAAAAGTATTACTTTCTAGTGGGTGTTACATAAAGCAGTTTATCAGTGTGAGGGAATACAACTTTGCTAAATATTTCTATTCATAGGGAAATATTCAGGTTAGGTGCCCATTCTAGAATATATAGTGAAGAAAATATAGCTGAAGTTTGTTTTTAACACACTGTAACATTCTCAACCTAAATTCACTAAATATGTATACATTGAATATTTGTCAAAGGATTTGTAAAACTAGTTAACAAATATTCTCATTTTACAGTGAACTAATTAAAGATTGTTATTGGTTGTGCTTGTTCATAGACATGAGTATGTAGCTATGGCGTGTCAGAGTGGATAACAGAATGCATAATTCATGTTCCCAGAACTATTTTCAGTATTCAGACACTCTTAACTATTTACAGAGCATTCTACTCTTCTATATTTAAATATATATTTCAATTAGAGAAATTCTTATGCAAAAATTATTTCTTTGAAACAGTCTGTGAGGAAAAGTACAGCATGCCAGCAACATAAACTCCATATATTGTTATATAGCTTGAGAATTGGTTCTTTAAAGAATTGGCATCCTGTTCAAAAGTTGTGGGAAAAAAAAAAAAAAATGAAAACTAGGGAGGGTTTTGAATGTGGTACCAGAACTCAGTGAAATGTATGCAGCTTCCCACAGATTGCATCTGACACTGCTAAATTATTCCTGCCTTCGTATTGCCCATTCCTTAGAGGAAGTTCTAGAACTACTCTATATATTTGGAAGTTCCATAATTCTCACATTCTTACCCAAAGTGTCAATGGATGGACAACATAGATGCTGTATGGCCTGCAACATGTAGGGGGTTGTACAGAGACAAGTTCGTCTTAGGCTCTGCCTGCTAATATGTTGACTGGAGACCAAATCCAGGATGTTATGATCAGGCTCCACCACTGTGTTTTCAGTAAAGATCAGGAAGTTATTTTTCTGTGACTTGCAAAGACAAAACAAAAGAACAGAGATCAGGATGCATTTTATTTCAATCAGGAGAGGCTAGTTTATAAGTTTTAAAAGGCTGAAAATTTTCATGGCCTAAAATAAGCAGGGAAATCTGCCTCAGACATAGCAATATTCTCAAGCAACTGAAACTGGGATTCAGAGAAAAAGTTTGCAAGAGAAAAATTTTAATGCTCTTTCATCTGATTGTTTTATGAAGGTAAGAGTCTTTTATATATGTATCATGGTTTCAATATGAATATTTAAAACCATTTAAAATTGCTTCCCCTCTTTCTCTGCATTGACGATGGTATCTTAATGTTAAAGACCGATTTTTCAAAATTTGACAATTTTCAGAAAGATAACTTCAATGCTTGGGAAGGAGACAATATTCAAGGAGTAACTTTGGTTAGGTCAGTTTACCCTCCTTGTATATGAAATGCCTTTATAGCTAAACACTTCAGTGATAACTGGTTTCTAACTATTCTAACAAATATATGGTTGACTTCAGGATATGCCCAGATTCCTGGTGCAATCGGTTATAGTTAGGCTAGTAAGTCTGTCCTCACATTTAGATAACTATTAGTCACTCATGATCAAATTAACTTACTTGAGGTCACTTTTGTCAGAAAGACTCAGTGTAAGTGGTAAGACCTTTAGAAAATAATAAATATTTGACTTACTACATAAGAGGAAGTCAACTGGAATTGATTGAGATAAATTCTGAAGAGTCTCAAGAATCTTCTTGTAGGAAAAAATAATAAATTTGCAATAGATCCATTGCTATAGCTGTTTCTTTCCTCAACTAGTCTTAGCTCCTCAGGACTAATAGAAGACAAACTATAGCAATTCGCAAAGTTGGAGTAGGAGGCAGAATGACGAAGAGGTAAGTGGGCTGAGAATACTGATGAGTAGTTTGGACTGATCAGGAAAGTAAGAGAGGTGAGGAGAGAAATTAGATCCTTAAATAATAGAAAAGGATCAAAATCTGGAAGTCATAATGAGGCAAAAAACATGTAAGGTGGGAGTAAATATGAAATGTAGGTGGAAGACTAATGAATGAGAAGTCTACCCCTGAGCAGTTTCTCCCACCCAATGTTTCATTCAAATGGGATCCCAGCTATGGTCACATATTCTACTTCAATTTGATATGACCTTTGAAATTATCAATGACAGAAGGAGATATCTAAACTAAAGCTCTGTTTGGTTCAATATTTTTGGCTTCAGAGCATTTGGAAGTTTGTTTTTGAGACAAGTTAAAATGTAACTGCCTCCAAACATTTAGCTTGCCAGCAGGACGCCTGTCTCTAGCTGACAGGACTGGCTGCCTCGTGTTGTTTGGGTTTCTAACCAGGTTGTCTGACAGCAGGGTACTTTTCAGTTTGATCAAGGACAATGGGCTCTAGATCAACGCTCATCATTTGTCAGGCTTCTCTTGCAGTTGGGAAAATCTCACAGCTTGTTGGCTCTTGGTTAAACTGGGACTAGGAGAGAGGCAAAGATGCAAAAATGACTTACTGGGTTATGAGTTACAGAGGAATCTTCTGGACTCAGTGTGGTATGATAGAAAGAGGTCATGTGTTATGTCAGGAGAACTGTATTTCAGTCCTCCTCTTCTGTCTACTTGGTGCATGTTGTAAATAATGTCATTTTATTTCACTAAGTCATGCTTTAATCATCCACATAGTGAAGGGGTAAAAAAAATAGTCTTTTGAGTTTATCCCTGATCAAATATCTGAAATGACATAGAAAATGGATGGGGATCCTCTCATGTGAGGACTTGGGAGATGAAGTAGGGATGAGCTGAAGTCTCCAAAGTAATATCTATTGTTGCTTTACTGCTGGTCAGATTACATTGTAAAATAAGTTAAGAATGAGTCAGTGGCAGTGAAAACCAGGATTCCAGGTCTCGCAAGGGAATCTGAGATACCAAGCATCTTGCTCAGTAAGATAGAACCTCCAAATGTCAGTGCACAGATTGAAGGATACCCTGGGACCCCCAAACTTGTATGCTCTAAAGGGGACTGAAAACCCATGTATACAAAAATAAAGCAAATTTAGTGTAAATGAACTTTAATAGGATTAATGTGTAGAGAGGGAGAATAACAAAGGATACTATTTTCCCAGTAAAAATACCCAAAGTTATCCATTCCCAGGGGTAAAAGCCCAGAGTTGACCCCAAGCAAGGCCACCGAAGCCTGAAATCTTGTCACAAGTCTAAGGGCCCTTCTAGTGGGGAAATCATAGGAAAAGAGAGAAAGGTGCCAGACAAGGAGCAAAATCAAAGTACAAATCAAGGTAATGGCTGCCATTGTCAGGAGCCCCATGAATCTCTTCCAAGTATCTCTTTAGGTCTCTACTCCATATGATCCAAGTCCCTGGTGCAAGTCCAAAGCCAAGAAACAAGCAGCCCTTCTCCACATCTCTCCAAAGTCTGTCTGTCTTCCTTGTTATATAGCTTCACCTGGCTGCTCAGCTCTACCCACTAGTTCCCAGTAGCTATCCAAGGTGGCTGTATGTAAATGGAAGCTTGCATGCATGTGGCTATGCATCTTTTTACAGCTACTAATATGGATCCTAAGAGGAACATGTTACCTCCCCCTTTTATTTAAAGATGCCTCTATTACATAAATAACAGGTTAAGCCTCTTCATAGGAAGCAGAGAGGGTTAGGGAGGCCTGTGCCTGGACAGTTACTAAGCTTAATAAATAAGCCCCAGTTCCAAGGAAGAGGCATTCATAGATTGCTGTTTTATACTAAGGATAAACTGCCTTGTATCCTCACATGTTAAGTATAACCAGAAATAAGCCAGATCACCACATGATGAATTCAGAACACACATGATACAGAATTGAGCAGACCGGGAGTCAATTCCAATTCTGGTACCAACTGATCATTCCTTCTGGTCTAAATTCATTAGCAACTTGAGGATAATTATGTCTTGCTAAGTTTTATGTGGATTAGAGATAATTTATGCAAAATGTTTGACACATGGTAAATATTTGTCAAATGGTATTCAATATTATCAATGAGATATGAGGAAAGGGACACAAATTTTAGTCCAAATAGAAATACAGATGCACTGTGATTTTGCCAGCTTGGCACATGTAAGTTATAGGAGAGCAAAAATTTGTCACCCGAAAATGGGTCTTAGTTTGATATAATGGGAGGGGCTCAGAAGACTACGTGGCGGTTACTTTTTGAAAAGATATTTACATGAAAAATTCTCCCTGTAAGGTATGTATCAGGAAGACCTTATCTCCTTGTCTCTTTTCAGTGGAGAAGACAGAACTTAAATCTGCATGCCTTTGTCTATGATGCTTTCCTGGGTTACCTCCCTAAATCTATCTGTTTTAATTAAGCTACTTAAGATGGTGTGTCTGAAGTCACATAAGCAAGTTACTCAGCTAACCTTGATCTCTCTTACATATATAGGAGTATACATGTTATGATTAACCTTCTTCTTGGGTTTATCTCTTATATATCTACCTAATGCTTGTTTGATGATTTGCCAGCCTAGAACTCAGAGTGGCAGGATGATTTCCTTTGCTACCCAACAAGGGATACTCCTAGATCCATAGGTGATTTTGTGGTGAGGTTTTTGACAGCCATATAGCAGTGTTCTTGGGATCCATATTAGCAACTGTAGAAAGATACACAATCAGGGCCTCCCTGGTGGCCCAAGGGGTTAAGCACAGCACTGTGAAGCTATCTGCAGCCTCTGCAGCACGAGTTCAATCCCCAGCCAGCCAGGGAGCAACCCGCATGGCGCAGCAGACCTCTCCTGGCTCGCCAACTGCTCCCCTCAGCAGTGTATTTCAGGCAGTCTACCTGTTCTGTTCCCCACTCTGGCTCTGGTGAATCCTTTCACCCCTTGCACTTCTGACATGTACCCTAGTTCTTACATGCATGAATAGATAAGTCTACAAAAAAAAGTAAAAAACAAAAAAAAGATGCCTGTGAGCTTCCATTTGGGAACTATAGACAAAACAAGGCCACTCCAGCACATCTATAGAAGAACATTAAGGGTGGCAATTTAATAGTTGGAACTGGGTGCCCAGGTACTTGTTTTGCACCTAAGTTTGTATATAAGATTACAAATGATTGGGGAAATGTTGATTGTGCATACCAAAGAATGGAAGACTTACAGAGTGGGGTGGGGATGGGGAGACAAACCCCTCTTCCCCCACTGTTGTCAAAGCTGAGTATAAAAACAAGCGAAGTTTTAACACATAAAATTTCATACTAGCTGGTGTATTAGGAATAATCTCAACCACTTCCTTCATAGTTAAAGATAATAGCATGGAAAAGAAAAGTTATTGGTTAAATGTAATCAGGATAAAGGGATACATATCTGTAAAATTTGATGTTAATTTCAATTTGTACTCCTATATATGTGCACAAGTGCACACACACACTGAGAAACAGGACTAAACCCAGTACAACAAGGTTTCTATTGGCTTTACACTCTTATACTATTCATTTAATAAACAGAATGACAAAGATTCTCTCCTTAACAAAACTAGTTACACTTTTCTGAACTCTTTTTTCAGCTAGGCCCTATTCCTGGTACTTCCTCAAGAGCCTAGTGTCAAGTGGGTTTAGTGAGAATTGCCCACCCTCAGAAAGGCCAATTTTCTTATCTTCCAACACCTCCCAGGTGATACCTGATCACCCTCGCCCAACTCTAGTAAGACTCCTATTAGGTCAATTTAGCAAAGAATAACCCTATCCACTTAAATTTCTATCTATAGACTCCTTCCCCAAACCACCCCCTACCTCTGCTTGACAATCAATTGCTGTACTTCCTCTTGATATTCAGAGTTCAGCGCATTCGCAATCTCTTTTCCCTGCTGCACAACCCTATTGTAGGAATTTCAGTACCTATCACAATAGTCCTGAATAAAGACTTTTTCTATTTTAATAAGTACAATGCTTTTCCTTGTAACAATGAACATAGAAGAATTAAATTTGGCTTCAAGGTAAAGATGGGCAGAAAATGGAAGGTAGACACCAAATAATTTTGTTAAATGTAATAGATTAAATTAAATATTTGTTAATTGTTTCTGGTGCTATTCAGAGATAAAAAGCTACTATTTTTCTTCTCTATGAGCTCCAGCCTAATATGTAAGGTAATTGTGTTTTATGCCAGTAATGCTGCTACTGGGAGTGGAAGGAACATAGGATAGGGGTAGATTGTTCCATCTAGTCAATAGATAA